TGATAGTTCTAGAAACGTTGCGTCACAGTGGTCATGTGACTCGCTGACGCAACATAACCTTTAGATTTCGGTTCAAATTCAAACAAATGAAACTGTGCCATTCTCGTAATAACTGTGCTTTCATCGTTTCCATTGCAACATATATAAATGCTATGTATATGTATTAACTAAATCTGCATAGCTCTAATCTTCATCATGCTTTGAGAGAACTTTTACAATGAATAGTAGAATTGAAATATAAAATTTCAGCAATTTGCTTAATCTCTGTAATTCTTCCATCCAATTTTTGTGATTTATTGTATTTATTAGAATGTGAAATACACTTCAACATCTTACAAAGTTTTTCACTGAGCTTTGTTGAAATTTAGTTAACATATGGTCATTACATATCACCTGGGCTTCTCAGATTCTTTTTCATCTGTGAAATCTATCCCATATTCTAAGTATAAGCTTTATATTAAAGTAAACATTTGTACCATTTTTGATTCTTCTTCTTTACATTACTTGGAAAGAATGTTGCCTATGTAATGGACATACATACCCTCTACCCATTTTAAAATTGCACTTTTCTTTTATGATGGTGTAATAATAAAAAAATATTTTTTGTCCATTTAAAATTACTAGACTACTTAAGTGCAAGTTGTACCCTGATTGTAATTCATAATAGTGCAACAAAACTTGTCTTATTCATATAATGTCTCAATAACGTTTAAATTCATCATTCTGTAGTTTTGTGTTCACAGAGCATCTATTATGATATTAAGTCAGGTATTGCTCATCAATCAGACAATTTTAAAGATTTCATTGAACATTCAGGTAATAAACTGTAACCCGTTGTTGATAATTGTAGATAGCTGTAACAGGTTGTCCATTCTGATAGCACCTCAATAGCCTTTCATTAACTTACTTCAAGCATGATAGATTTTTGTCTTGTCATTTTGTCACTCACCTAAGTAAATATAAAAGAACTATTATTTACAAGTTGGTTTTCTTAAATTTAGGAGTGGTAGTTATTTTAGTCTCAAATTAAACAGAATTGCTAAAAACAGGATATTTTCTCTGTAGAATCTGTACTTAAAAATTGGGAATCTGCAATATCATTCTATCATGACTAAAACTATAGTAAAGATTGCTAAATTTACAACTTTGCATTACTACAAAGATAGGCAGTTGTAGTACAGTGTACGTACAGATATTTTATTTTCATTACAACAAAGATAGGCAGTTGTAGTACAGTGTACATACAGATATTTTATTTTCATTACTACAAAGATAGGCAGTTGTAGTACAGTGTACGTACAGATATTTTATTTTCATTACAACAAAGATAGGCAGTTGTAGTACAGTGTACATACAGATATTTTATTTTCATTACTACAAAGATAGGCAGTTGTAGTACAGTGTACGTACAGATATTTTATTTTCATTACAACAAAGATAGGCAGTTGTAGTACAGTGTACATACAGATATTTTATTTTCATTACTACAAAGATAGGCAGTTGTAGTACAGTGTACGTACAGATATTTTATTT